GCATGACGTCGGTCTGCCTACATATGTAATCAGCGTGGTTCAAACAGGCTATAGTAGATGCATGACGTCGGTCTGCCTACATATGTAATCAGTGTGGTTCAAACAGGCTATAGTAGATGCATGACGTCGGTCTGCCTACACATGTAATCAGCGTGGTTCAAACAGGCTATAGTAGATGCATGACGTCGGTCTGCCTACATATGTAATCAGTGTGGTTCAAACAGGCTATAGTAGATGCATGACGTCGGTCTGCCTACATATGTAATCAGTGTGGTTCAAACAGGCTATATAATCAGTTTGGTTCAAACAGGCTTTAGCAGATGCATGACGTCGGTCTGCCTACACATGTAACCAGCGTGGTTCAAACAGGCTATAGCAGATGCATGACGTCGGTCTGCCTACATATTTAATCAGCGTGGTTCAAACAGGCTATAGTAGACGCATGACGTCGGTCTGCCTACATATGTAATCAGCGTGGTTCAAACAGGCTTTAGCAGATGCATGACGTCGGTCTGCCTACATATGTAATCAGTGTGGTTCAAACAGGCTATAGTAGATGCATGACGTCGGTCTGCCTACATATGTAATCAGTGTGGTTCAAACAGGCTATATAATCAGTTTGGTTCAAACAGGCTATAGCAGATGCATGACGTCGGTCTGCCTACACATGTAATCAGCGTGGTTCAAACAGGCTATAGCAGATGCATGACGTCGGTCTACCTACATATTTAATAAGCGTGGTTCAAACAGGCTATAGTAGACGCATGACGTCGGTCTGCCTACATATGTAATCAGCGTGGTTCAAACAGGCTTTAGCAGATGCATGACGTCGGTCTGCCTACATATGTAATCAGTGTGGTTCAAACAGGCTATATAATCAGTTTGGTTCAAACAGGCTTTAGCAGATGCATGACGTCGGTCTGCCTACACATGTAATCAGCGTGGTTCAAACAGGCTATAGCAGATGCATGACGTCGGTCTGCCTACATATTTAATCAGTGTGGTTCAAACAGGCTATAGTAGATGCATGACGTCGGTCTGCCTACATATGTAATCAGTGTGGTTCAAACAGGCTATAGTAGATGCATGACGTCGGTCTGCCTACATATGTAATCAGCGTGGTTCAAACAGGCTATAGTAGATGCATGACGTCGGTCTGCCTACATATGTAACCAGCGTGGTTCAAACAGGCTATAGTAGATGCATGACGTCGGTCTGCCTATATATGTAATCAGTTTGGTTCAAACGGGCTATAGTAGATGCATGACGTCGGTCTGCCTACATATGTATTCAGCGTGGTTCAAACAGGCTATAGTAGATGCATGACGTCGGTCTGCCTATATATGTAATCAGTTTGGTTCAAACGGGCTATAGTAGATGCATGACGTCGGTCTGCCTACACATGTAACCAGCGTGGTTCAAACAGGCTATAGTAGATGCATGACGTCGGTCTGCCTACACATGTAATTAGCGTGGTTCAAACGGGCTATAGTAGATGCATGACGTCGGTCTGCCTACACATGTAATCAGCGTGGTTCAAACGGGCTATAGTAGATGCATGACGTCGGTCTGCCTACACATGTAATCAGTGTGGTTCAAACAGGCTATAGTAGATGCATGACGTCGGTCTGCCTACATATGTACTCAGCGTGGTTCAAACAGGCTATAGTAGACGCATGACGTCGGTCTGCCTACATATGTAATCAGCGAGGTTCAAACGGGCTATAGTAGATGCATGACGTCGGTCTGCCTACATATGTAATCAGCGTGGTTCAAACAGGCTATATAATCAGTTTGGTTCAAACGGGCTATAGTAGATGCATGACGTCGGTCTGCCTACATATGTAACCAGCGTGGTTCAAACAGGCTATAGTAGATGCATGACGTCGGTCTGCCTACATATGTAATCAGCGTGGTTCAAACAGGCTATATAATCAGTTTGGTTCAAACGGGCTATAGTAGATGCATGACGTCGGTCTGCCTACATATGTAACCAGCGTGGTTCAAACAGGCTATAGTAGATGCATGACGTCGGTCTGCCTATATATGTAATCAGCGTGGTTCAAACAGGCTATATAATCAGTTTGGTTCAAACGGGCTATAGTAGATGCATGACGCCGGTCTGCCTACATATGTAATCAGTTTGGTTCAAACGGGCTATAGTAGATGCATGACGTCGGTCTGCCTACACATGTAATCAGCGTGGTTCAAACGGGCTATAGTAGATGCATGACGTCGGTCTGCCTACACATGTAATCAGTGTGGTTCAAACAGGCTATAGTAGATGCATGACGTCGGTCTGCCTACATATGTACTCAGCGTGGTTCAAACAGGCTATAGTAGACGCATGACGTCGGTCTGCCTACATATGTAATCAGTTTGGTTCAAACGGGCTATAGTAGATGCATGACGTCGGTCTGCCTACACATGTAATCAGTGTGGTTCAAACAGGCAAGTGGTTGACAGTATGAGCAACGGAACACTTTATCGGGGCACGCCGTGAGACAGTCAACCAGATCACACAATGTGACCACCCGATCCTCATTTGCTGACTCAACCAACAATCATTGGATACCTGAGACTTGTTCTCCCCCGGTATTTCTGACTCGTGCATGTGTTATAAGAGTCCCTGCCTGTCGACATGTCCAGTGGGGTGGAGGTGGAAGTCATTAGTTAGCAAAGGGGATCGTTGTGGGCGACTACCGCACATTGTTGTCGATGGTGTGTATACATGTTACACCGCCCAAACTGGGGTCTCCTCGACCAATGTACAAGTTATGTTATCCTTTAGAGTTATATTTTTCTTTGTTTCTAGAAGCCATTGCACATAGTTATGTGAAAAGAGTTGGAATCCCATGCAAGAGGATTCACAGAAGACGTATGCAGTAGGAGCAGCAGCAGCAATGGGCACATCGCGCCTTGACACCCTCTCTACATCAGCTGTAGAAATACAGGCGGGGAAGCTACATGAGATGGAATACACTCTCACGTCAACAAAAGGTTTCCGGGGCATCAGTGGGTGTTGCTTTACCCTATTTTGCTACGAATACACGCTTTTTAAGTGTGTTGAGTAAGGAGGCTCTGATTTTTTGGGTGACTTTTGACATTTTCTCAATCAAAAGTCCCGGTAATTCCATAGCCCTTGGACTTTGAGAAAGGAATACAATATCCCTGCTTCCACGGTAAAGGTAGAAGAAACGGGAACATGTTTTTATTTGGCTGTCTGAGAAAAGAAAAGAAAACATCTTTGGTATGTTTGGCGGGAAGGTGACGTTTATGTGAAACGTTTGTCGTTTCCCATGGTAGTGTAGGTAATGCTTACCATTCGAGAACGCCTCCTCTCACTATTACTCGACATGAACGTATTCATCTGCCCACAGTATGCCACTGACCCTCTTCTCCCACATTCCATCACCATAACGTCCGGCATCCAGCCACGTCCGGTTTGAAGGGGTTACGGGGTGACGAAACATGGATACTACGGAAGCCCTTTAAGGCCACAGATATCAAATTAATATTATAAAAATTCAGGATCATTATCTTGAAATTTCAACTTCAATAGTATGTAACTGGAAATTTCTGCATCCCCCCAAAACAAACAAACAAACAAACAACAACAACAAACAAACAAACAAACCAACAACAAACAAACAAACCCCCCAACCCAACAACAAACAAAACAACAACAAAACAAACAAACAAATAACAAAAAAAACAAAAAAACAAAACCAATTGCCCTAAATGACTTCCGTAGATTACACAAGTGGATCGATCATACAGTAAATTAAACCCACCATGCGGACTGCTAGTAGGGGGGTTACGTTCTGAAAACTGTGGCTTCCAAAAGTGAAGTAATTAAAGTGTTCATCTTCGCTGGTAGTTATTTACTTAAGCCTAATGTTCAACTGATCACTGCATAACTGTAATAACGTTTTGTTCTGTAATTATAATTACGTATAACGTTTGCATGAATAAACTAGCGTAATGAACAAAGGTAGTGTTATTAATCAGGAAACACTACTGGGTCACATTGACCAATCAGCAAGATTGGGTAAATAAACATGCAGACATTGGAAATTGGAATAAGAAACATTATATCGTTCAAACAATTTGGTTAATATTACCACTTCATTCATTTTGATCACAGTATGATTAATAAGGCAAGACAAATGTAACTATTTCAGAGCAGTATGCAATGACTTCAGCGCGACTAGTAATTGTGGTCTGACAGCGGGACTTAACATAAACAGTGTTCTTAGGTTTAAAAAAAGATTTAACAAATTAGTCACAATGGAGAGTGGCCTACACAAAACGTAGACAAATTACAAGAAAACTCAAACTGTAATTTGGAGTGTATGTAACATGAAATATTGTTTGGTGGACGATAGCCTTGCTTGGCGAACATGTACACTAATTCTCATCTGTGTTGTACTGCTGACCACACTTAACTCAAGAAAGGACAACATCATAAAGCAACATCTGTTACATAATGTTTCACATAATATCCCGCCTGGATCTCTTTCCATTGAATGTTTATCGTAAAATGTTTAAGTCTTCAGGCGTTATATGTGCTATATCACCCTAGGCTGTTAGGCAGACATAAAGTAACTTTCAAGTGATTGGTCTTATTTGAGAGGGTTGAATTCAATTGTATATTTCCTATATCGTGTTTCTGATAATTGCCTCTGTAAGAAAAGAATCCTTGTCCCGCAAAATTGAAGGGGAAATCACGTATCGGGTCAAACATTTTGAGGCACACATATCCCTCCGCGAGATTACAAACTTTTTATCTTATTATTGAAACATCAAGTGCAGAATACATAGCTTCATATGATGCCATCAATACGGTCGATGTTATTCATTGGAGTGACGAGTCTTGGCTTACAAAATAAAAGAACTTTATACGATGGACTATATTTCCCAGCGGTACGACTCTGCGCGCGAGAAGCCGAGAGGGGTGCTTCCCCACCAAAACAATAAGCCCGTGCGGTAGCAGTACACAACACGCGCACTGCACGAGCAGGGAATATCCCGCTATCAATATGTGGAGGAGTGTGATTTATTTTGTTTTATATCTGACCACCGTATTGGAAGGGACATCTGCTTGTCCTCACCGGTGTCTGTGTTTCCGTACGACCGTCAGGTGTATGTTTCTGCAACTAGAGCAGATCCCCCAAGTCCCCTCGGATACTATGATCTTGTGAGTATTTGTTTGCTTTTCAGTGACAACATTTAAAGGATTGTTTTCTGTGTTATACAATAGTAGCATTTATCTTTTTCAATCACGTTTCCATTTATTCTCTAGTGTAACATTATGATTCATTAAGGGATTTCTTACAGTTATTTATATCAATAGTTGTCCTTGTATGCCTATAGGAATTCTAGCGACGCCGAGTTGGTTTGACAGTTCGTCTGCTGACTTCGCGTTATTGTTCTGTGTATGTAGATAGCAGACGACACAAGAAGCGTTATAGTGAGGTATTTAGTGTCTTTTCTTTTATACCGAATACACTGATTGATTGTGTTGTGATCCGAACTTAGCAGTGTTTCAGTGGAGGTAAGCGCCCTACACACGGCATGTTTGTGCACTCTTCTGTTTTTATTCAAGAACAATAACTACATGAGCCTCGCCCAGACTTTGTGTTATGTAGGTAGTATTTATATAAGAGATATTACAAGCTTGGCAGAATACTTGTCTGCTCGGACGCAAGGTTGCCTCAAAAGGAATTGCAGTGTAACTGAAATGATAAATGATGGATGTTTTATCCCTATAATATTAAAAGCAAATTCATATATCGTGTATAAATTGGATACTTGGATTTCTCCATGAGAGTCGGTAGTTTATCTAACCATGCATGTTAAGTCTGTTTATAGGAGTAAGCCCCACACTGAGCTGTCAAACACTGCAATGGAGCATGGAAAGTTTGACAAATTGCTATTGCCTTTCTTTCGAGCGCATTGCCACTGCCTCCATGCAGGACTCTCGACAGTGAGCCAGTGAATTTGCAGCATAAATGAAGCAGTCAGATTAGCAGGGTCAATTAGTTCACATATACCTGGAAGCTAGGTGTATGGCACTCAACTTGACCTCACCAAGAACTAGCTCACTGTGTACTGTGACATGAGGACTAGATCACACTGCGGTTTTGTACTGCCACACACTCCCTCACTTTAAAGCTGAGATTGTCCGCAAGAGGATTTCAAAAGTGCTTTTGTCAAAAGGCTGTTTGCCAATATATTGAGTTACTGTCAATCGACAACCTATTTTCATGCCCTGTTTTCTCCTTAGTTATTTTGGGGACCATTTTGACAACCTACATATTTGATAAGGATTGAGAATGAGGATTCAAGCAGAAATGCTGACTGTATGTAATATTACCTGTGAGAATGCTCTTTGTTCAATGGATATTCCCAACAGAGGACCGCCTGCGTGGTCTTGTGGTAGATACCGGAGAGCGGAAGGTCAGGGGTTTTATGCCTGGCCGCATCATACCAAAAGACGTTAAAGGTGGCACTTGTTGTTACCCTGCCTGGCGCTCGGCATTGGTAGGCTTGGAGTATACTCTGTCTGAGTGGGGTATTCATGTTAAACTTCGGCGTGGTATCTCAGTGGGCTAGCACTATAAAATTGCTATCAATCTGGACTAATACAAGCAGCCATGCATGCACATCGCTGTTAGTACAACAATCTTGAACGCAACAATAAACCCATTTCACCTCACCCAACTGAGAGCAAGGTCAGATAGTTTCAAAGCATATATGGAATGATGAATAATATTTATTTACAATGTATGTGTTACACACTTGAGCTGGGACATGGACTCTCATGTCAGCTTCATATATGGCATGTCCACAGTGAGTGGACTGAGGGTTTGTGGACCCCCTACACCCCAAGTTAAGGGTTGGGAACCAAGTAGGAGATGTATACAATGTTTAAAATATTACTGCACAAGCTTATCATTTTTGTTGTTAAAAAGATTATCCTGCCAACTGATGCAATGGTACTCTGTAACCATGGTAACTACACAAAATATTGAAAACTCATTGTTGGTGGTTCATGTAATGAGGTTCAATGCACGTATGATGATGTTCCTTTTTCGGTCATATTGTCAATGCCTACTCTAAATTTACCATTTAAAATTCCCTCAGAACATGTTCTGGGCTCTTTAGTCATCCTTTCCTTTGATGACACCAAATTCTGTTCAAATTGTTGTAATCTTATTGTTATTTGTATGTTAGAAATAATATAATTTTCTCATTGATTTCAACATCTTTTAAAAAACGACAAGGTTCTCTAAGCGGATACTTACTAAGTTTCACGAATGCTAAATGATCCATGTCAAGTCAACAGTTGTAGACAACGTTGCAGAACTGAGTTCGTTTTCCCTAGAATCTTGCTCTTAACATGCTAAATGTACCAAAACTCAGCACAGGTTTATATTGCCATGACAGGTGTGATGTTTTGAAATGTCATCGAAATGTTTGGAAATTATGTGGTCAAGATAGCTGAAATTTTGTGTGAATGATACAGAAAATAATTCTTTCGTGCTTCATGAACAGGATTCAACATCAGGCATTTCAGACAATGTTGCACAAGTTCTCAGAAAATGTTGAGGTAAATTTACTTATATTTTGTTTGGAATCAGTCACCATTGTGTTTTATTTGGTTTTGTTTAATTGTAACGGATAAAAGTTCTGTTTTTAATCTCAGAATGGATATATTCAATATTCAAACTGGCTGATGGTGGCCCATAAATAATCAAGTCTGGACCAGACAATCTTGTGAGTGATATTTTGAGCATCGATTCATGCCGTATGATGCTACATGTATGCAGTCAACCAAGTCACTGAGACTTGCGCATAGGTTGCGGGGGACCAATTCTTACCCGGAATTTTCATAGGGATCAACAATTATGCACTATTAAAGGCTTAGAAGCATAATGGCATGGTGAAATTTAGTGTATAAAAAAACAGCCATTAGTTCTATGACCCCTGCAAACTTTTATTGACTGAATGTAAACACTTGTTCAGTGACCAGGTTTCATTGAAATCTGTCATGCCTCCCTCACACCAAAAAAGACTAAGTTACACAAACAACATTTGTGTTGCCATTATTCTTCACATTAAAATAAGCCTTCCGATAAAGTATTTTTGTAGCATATGAAGACATGCCCCTTGAGTTGAGAAGACATCACACAGCCAATGTATGCATTGTTTCCTACATGGACTCTGCAAGCCATGAGACCTTGAGCAAGACACCATGTTCCCCTGGCCATGTTCTTGGTCTGGTGAGACAGTGCTGAATGTAGAAGTTACATAGTGATGCACACACTCACAAGACCAGCACTAATTACCTGTTATATATTGTGTATGTTTGGAAGCTCAGTGTTATGTGTGTGCTGCTTATCTGGCAGCTTACATCAACAACATCACGGCTGGGATTGCAGCAGAAATGGCTTCATGTCAACCACAGGCAATGTTGTTGTTAGTGGAGGAGTGTTTTCACAACTTCCCCGATCTGTTAAATGCAGAAACTGTTGAATGTCAGAAATGTCGTTTTTTTCAGGTTCTAGGTTAATGTATAGGTATCCGAGGGTATATACAGGAAAATACTGCTTGACCAAGTTCTATTGGAAGGGTTACTGTCCCAATGGTCTTTAATAGCATAGTGGATTGTGGACTGCTGGATCAAAGAGTATTGGGAGTTGTAGTGAAAGACTCCACATTGTAGATTGTAGTATATTGGGAGTTGTAGTGAAGGACTCCATGTAGTGGATTGTGGTGTACTGGGAGCTGTAGTGAAAGACTCCACATAGTGGATTGTGGTGTACTGGGAGTTGTTGTGAAGGACTCCATGTAGTGGATTGTGGTGTACTGGGAGTTGTTGTGAAGGACTCCATGTAGTGTATTGTGGTGTATTGGGAGCTGTAGTGAAGGACTCCATGTAGTGGATTGTGGTGTACTGGGAGTTGTTGTGAAGGACTCCATGTAGTGGATTGTGGTATATTGGGAGCTGTAGTGAAGGACTCCATGTAGTGGATTGTGGTATATTGGGAGTTGTAGTGAAGGACTCCATGTAGTGGATTGTGGTGTACTGGGAGTTGTAGTGAAGGACTCCATGTAGTGGATTGTTGTGTACTGGGAGTTGTAGTGAAAGACTCCACATTGTGGATTGTGGTATATTGGGAGCTGTAGTGAAGGACTCCATGTAGTGGATTGTGGTATATTGGGAGTTGTAGTGAAGGACTCCATGTAGTGGATTGTGGTGTACTGGGAGTTGTTGTGAAGGACTCCATGTAGTGGATTGTGGTGTACTGGGAGTTGTAGTGAAGGACTCCATGTAGTGGATTGTTGTGTACTGGGAGTTGTTGTGAAGGACTCCATGTAGTGGATTGTGGTGTATTGGGAGCTGTAGTGAAGGACTCCATGTAGTGGATTGTGGTGTACTGGGAGTTGTTGTGAAGGACTCCATGTAGTGGATTGTGGTATATTGGGAGTTGTAGTGAAGGACTCCATGTAGTGGATTGTGGTATATTGGGAGCTGTAGTGAAGGACTCCATGTAGTGGATTGTGGTGTACTGGGAGTTGTAGTGAAGGACTCCATGTAGTGGATTGTTGTGTACTGGGAGTTGTTGTGAAGGACTCCATGTAGTGGATTGTGGTGTACTGGGAGTTGTTGTGAAGGTCTCCATGTAGTGGATTGTGGTATATTGGGAGCTGTAGTGAAGGACTCCATGTAGTGGATTGTGGTGTACTGGGAGTTGTTGTGAAGGACTCCATGTAGTGGATTGTGGTATATTGGGAGCTGTAGTGAAGGACTCCATGTAGTGGATTGTGGTATATTGGGAGTTGTAGTGAAGGACTCCATGTAGTGGATTGTGGTGTACTGGGAGTTGTAGTGAAGGACTCCATGTAGTGGATTGTGGTGTACTGGGAGTTGTAGTGAAAGACTCCACATTGTGGATTGTGGTATATTGGGAGCTGTAGAGAAGGACTCCATGTAGTGGATTGTGGTGTACTGGGAGCTGTAGTGAAGGACTCCACATAGTGGATTGTGGTGTACTGGGAGTTGTTGTGAAGGACTCCATGTAGTGGATTGTGGTATATTGGGAGCTGTAGTGAAGGACTCCATGTACTGGATTGTGGTGTACTGGGAGCTTTGGTGAAGGACTCCATGTAGTGGATTGTGGTATATTGGGA